GCCGCTAGGGGGTGTGGCTGTGTGTTTGTGTGGTTATAGCCGAATCCTCGCTTTTTCTTCCGTAAAGTAAACAACAGTAAACAATGGCGACCGAGGTGGAGCAGCTGTATTTGGAGTTGGAGCTCCTTAATATTGAAGAACAAATGCTTATATTGTAAATGTTGAAGCGCAGGAGACAGAGAAGATGTTTGCAGAGGTGGTTTTTATGACGAGGAAGAAAGACCGGAAAAGCAACTGCCGGAACTTACGTTCTGAGCGGACCAATCACAGCGCTTGCGGTCCGCGTCAACGCGATGCGTAGTTAGGATTTTTTGGAGGTGCGCGTCAGGCTATGGCGAAGGGGTCCGCGTCGATGGCGTAGCTACAGAGTAGGTACGGCATCGACGCGACGCAGAAGCATAAACTAGGCTTAAGGTTGATATTGAAACATGGGGGTTGAAAATATCCAAAATTCATATTCAAACTATAATGACCTGTTTGATTACCTGTGGACATTTTCATCCCTGTCTATTTAGTTGTTGGTTTATTTGATTAAGCATGATTACACAAAAAAACTACTGGACCACGGTGTGGATACAGATCCAGGGATTCTTTTTACTTTCTTTAACATAGCAAGATCCATAGGTTTTCAATATTTTCCTGGATCTTGATGGGACTGATTTCTGGGACTGAGTGTGTGTAGTTTAGTGCAGATCCAAATATAAATCTAAATGTACTGACTCTAAATGTGATTTCAGCTTATCAGTACATTAAGTCACTACTGATGTGTAGGATGACTGTAGCTATAGCAAAGCATATTCTAATATATTTAGAACACAGGCAGTGTTATATCAGATTTGTTGGAACTTGACTTTTTGGAAAGAAGTGACAGCCCCATGCAACTGTAACCTGTATTTTATGTCTGGACCCACCATTGGTATTTGTTTGATAAGTTTGATAATCCTTCGGCATGTGTTTTTGAAATGGAGGCTGGTGGGCATTTACTAGCTGAGCATGTGCTGCAGGAGCTAATTTTCAGTTTCAAGTTGTTGACCACAGTGACAGTGGTTGACTTTAATTCTCAATGGTTTGCTGGCTCTATGTTTTGAGGAAGTTATAAGTCAGTGCATTTTACATTGAGGCTGTTTGATGATTGTAGTATTAGAGGCTGCACAAATGCTCTGGGCTAAGTTTCAATCCCTGGATAGAAGGACAATACAGGACAAGTAAAAGCTTTTTCCTCCGGAAGATATTTTAAAAAGGGATTTTAGGATTTCCTGCATATTGATCCCTAACTCCATCTTTTGTGTTTTGTTTCTAAGCTCAGAGCAGACGATGTTCTGTCTATAATGTCCCTGAGACGGCCATGAATCTTCCAGAGAGGGAGGCAGAGAGCACTACCACACATTAAGGAAATGAATATTGATTTAAAAACAAATTTGACATGGTTTTTAAATCGACTTGAAAATGCATCGCTTATAAGAGTCAGGGGTTTATAGTCTGTCAATGGAGCGGAGAAAACTTTGCTCTTGTTTTGTGGTTTAATAAGATTCCATTAATGGCTTCTTCCACCTTGACAAAAAGCCCTCTGAAATTGTGTGTGTGTGTGTTACTGCGGATGTATATGTGAAAATGTGCAGCGACGTTCATTTGTGCTAACACTCACGTGGTTATTGGTCTGAGGACCGCCTCATTTAGAGTTGAAGGATAATGACGGATATACTGTATGTGTGTGTGTGTGTGACTGTTAAATCGCAGACTAATTACTTTTTCAGGATGATGAGCTGAAGCAAGAAAGAATGAAACTAAAAGAATTGAACCACCTGTTTTACTCGTCTAAAATCATTTTTTCTTTTGTCGCATTGTGAACAAGTCTGCAGATTTCACCTTCAGGTTTCACTTTGAAAAGTAGAAGTGTTGTTTGAAACTAAGCAGGATCCTTGATTCCCTCAGAGGGCGGCCAAAATAAGACACCAGGCAATCTCACCAGAGTGCTCGGCTGGCGCGGTGTGAGCGTCTGGGGCCAGGTTTGCCTGCTCGCTGGGCCAGTGGAAGGAAACTGCCTCTGGCTGCCTGCCCAGCTTTCGGCTTGACAGAGATGGATCATATGGACCCCAGTGTTTTCCTTTCCTAATTGCTGCACATCAACACATCAATCCCACAGACATGATATTTCATAACAGAGCAGGAGATCATTACTTTGACAATTTTAAAGAAATTATTCAGTCAGGAGACCTCGGACTATGCTGGTTTCAGTCACGTTTGATTGAACTGATACGTGAGCTGTTGCGTGTGTTTGTGGGTGTGTGTGTCCAGAGTGGATCAACAATTGAATATCAAATACCATCGACAGTCTCTGAAACCCAAGGCCACAATAGCTTTGTTTAATTAATGCATAACCAGATCACATGATAAATGCAGACAGTGTTTCTCTCTCTCTAAACAGAACCAACTGAAAATGCAGGGTTCTGCAAGAGACTTGCAATTTGACTCAAGACTCACCTCCAGTTTGTTGTGCCATATTTATAGGCCTCAACCTGTGAAGGACAAAAAAATGACATGAATATGAAAAAAAATGAATAAATGCATACATGAAAAATACAGCTGAAAAAGGATATTTTTGTATTCCTACATTTATTTGTTTCTGTGTTCAAATGTTAATGTATGTAAAGGTTTCCTCAGTAAAGCCAGACTGTTTGTATAGCGGTGTGATCATCGGAACTACTTGTTTTTTCACTTATTTGGGTTCAGTCACTTATTTTATCATCATTTATTTATTTAAACTTATATTTTGTCCCACATATTATCCAGGCTGTTTCCATGCATCTATTTGCAGTGCAGAATACAAAAACAAAACTTCGTGTTTAAGTTTTACTGTGAACTTCCATGTTTGATTTTTCCTCTTGGTTATAATGGTGCAGATACGTTGTTGTCAAAGTGCACAGTCTCGTTCAGTGAATGAAAGAGACTCTGGATAACATCAAAAAAGTCAAGTGCGTAGCGTGGCCACAGGTTTACTGGCTGTTAAGTGACACATATGTTAGTATTATGTTAGTACATATGAGAGTATTGATTTGGTCATTTGTTTTTAGAGCAGTATATTCCTGAAGCTCCAGCCTTCTCTTCTCTAAATTAGTGAAAAGCTTAAGGTTGTAAAACCCATGAATTTTAACCATGGTCTCAAATTGTGATGTCAATTGTCTCTTGTCTGGTCAATTATTTCCTCTGCGTTGGAAAAGACTGCTGCTAAGGCTGAAATCAACTTCTTTAAAAGTTTTACTTTGACCTCAGAAACACTTCAAACCTGAATTAAAGTCTTTGTTCTGCCAAAGTGTTTCAGAAGAGACATTAAGGTTTTCTAATTAATTTTTAAAATGACTTTTTTTAAAGTATATATACTTTTTATATATCTGAAACATGTATGACATCTTCTCTTCAGGCTGCTGGGGATTCAGATGAACTTTCAAGCTGTAGATTTAAACTAAAGTCTGATATTCTTGATTTTTACTTATTTCTAAATGCAGTTTTTATTTGTAAAAACCATTGCAGAATATCTTCATGTATCAAGAGTTCAATATCAAATGTCTAATTACTTGATTCAATTATTGATCGTTTGATTGAAGAGTTAAGTTTTTTATTAATTAAAGTATAAGGCCGATTAAACCAAACACACAACATAAGTAAATGCAGCATTTGAGACTGAATACGACACTAATTGCTTTGAAATATTTAACGACAACAGGCTTTTCCTGGTTTTCCTCAGAGAGAACTATACAAAATGGCTTTTGCGGCATGAAAGTGGGTCTTTCTGTGTCTTAGGGCAGCAGGATAAGTGTTAATCCCTCGGGCGGTGCTCGGTAGTAGACTACAGATCCTACAGAGAGCCGTGGCCGCTGAGTCAGCCACAACTCTTCCAGGGGTAGCAGACTAATCTCCCAAGTACCTTCCTCTGTCAGTGGTCCAAGCATCTGTCATTCTACCTCTGGATGCCCCTCCTCCCTAGACAGCTCAGGTCCTCGTGGCATCCAAAACCCATTTCTATGACTTCTTTTAAAAGGTTTGCAAATCTTTAGTGTGCTTAATGGGTCTTAACCGTAGACAGTATATAAAGATGGATGACTTGTCTCAACTTCCTCCCACTATCAAGAAATGAAGCCAAAATTTCCTGGTTGTACCCACACTGCCATCTTGTGCTGAAAACACAATTTGGAGCCCGAGTCGGAACTGGGGGGGGGGCTGTATTTGATGCGTGTTTTGACCTTTTTGTTTGCGACAGGTCAAGTGAGCGCCCTCTGTTGGATCATGTGGCAAACCACTGATGTGCTTCTCGTCTTTGTATTTTGAATTTAAAGAGTAAAGACGCATCCACTAAATGGGGGAGGCAGGGTTTATGATCTATACTACAGCCACCAGGGGGCGATCAAGATGCTTCATGTTGTTCATCTTTATATACAGTCTGGTCTTAACTGGTTCTAGACTGTGTGAAGCTGTAAGAGTTCTTGGTTTGTTGCAGTGTCTGATTATAAGATATAACTCCTACTTTCACTTTAATAAGGAGTTATGTCTCTGTAGGCGGCTAAAATTCTATGGCTTGTTGTGTTTAAGATATTCTTAATTAAACCAGTGGATTATTTCACCAACATGTTGTCACAAAGCTGTAAATAAGACTGCTTGTCTTTGCTTTAAAAGAGTTAACATTGTGGAGATGGAAGGTGTTCACCCAGCAGTGAGGATCTGCTGGAGTGCGTTTGTGTTCATTTAATTTGATCCTGACTGCCAGACTGCATCTAGCTCGCTAAGTGCTTTGCCATTAAGCCTCTGTTCTGTGTTTAATTCTGCTACAGGGCTGACGCTTATGGATATAACACCCGGCTGTGAAACGCCCGCTTTGCAGTAAATGTTTACCATCTCATGCTTGTGCTACCTCTGGAATAAGCAAACCCACTCCAGTTCGAGCCTCTCAACTGAAGTAATGGCTCCGGTCGCCTGACCTTTGATTCCCTTTTGTTCTTTATCTGCAGATTTACAATGAGAAGAAGAGCCAGTTTGAAATCAAGAGAAATAACCCCAAGGACTTGGTGGAGAGAGTGGCCCGGGACATCTCCAAGCTGCTCAACAGTAAGAGGAAAGCCCTGGAGGTAAGAGGCTGATTCTACATGTTATAACACCTGCATGTGTACAAACACACCCTGTACTCTTGTGCACAGATAACAAACATACATAGTGCATCATTTGAATTTCCTGAAAAGCCAAGTTTCTGTTGATACAAATACATTCAGTGACTTTTATATATATACAGTATATATAAATGTAAAGTATCTTGAACAAGAGAAAATGTGAAAGTATAAAATAATAGAAAAATAGAATAAAAAAAGGCAATCGAATAAAATATATTTCTTCCAAATAATACAAATAAAAATACAGAGAATAAGTACATAATATATACCTTTCACTACAGACAGAATATTATTTGTAGAGAAACACCTGAGTAAAGTGCAGCGGCAAAGGATAATTGAACTTCCTCTAATGTTGACTAACAGTTGGCTGATAGAAGGATTCTTTACTTTATTTCTTCAGTTTGTTGAAAGCAGTGTCATTCCTTTATATTGTTGCAGTATATTTTTAAGCTTATTCTTTTTTTCTGCTTCGCACTTTTGAGTTTTTTGTTTTCCTGTTCAATATTGCTTGCATACATTGTGTAGTCTGTAAGATTAAGAGTTATTTCAGAGGTTATCATTGTAGCGGCCGGCATTCTTCTAATATAATTATTCCCGCTGTTATGCTCAGACAGTCCTGTGATTATTCAAAAAAATACTTTTGCTCTCACAGTGAGGAACCTCTAACCCACGAGAGAGAATTAAGAAGGGGGGGAGAATCAGAGATGAGTGGAGTGACAGGGAGGGAAACAAGGGAACGTGTAGACAATCGATGAAGAAAGGATCATCTATCTGATGATTCCAGAAATCTGTCTGTCTGTACATGGAACACATATCTAAAGAACCGGTCATCTTATCAGCTTTACACTTGTCATATGTTTGTTAAGGCCCCAAGAAAGTGCATTATCGAAATTTAGTGCGATTTGGACTTCAATATTCATACAATTAGAATAAACAGATGGCCAGCGTTCCATAGCAGCGGCGGCTGGGACTCATCAAATCACGAGTCGAGCTTCACTGAAGTTTAAAATAAACAGGTGAACAGCTCTTTGTGCAGCAGCGGTGACGCAGCTCCGTGGTTCTGTGGACTGAGTCCTGCAGTTGGTCTTCACTCGCCACAGCTTAATTACTGCAGGTCACTTTTACAGTTTCAGAGAGAAAAGCTGCAACCACCATCACCGCAGGTCAAACAAACAGGCAGGTTTAGAACATGCACTGCACTAGTTTTTTCTGAAAAAGTATAATACAATATAAATGATTAAGTCAAAGTGTAAATATAATTTCAAGTCACCTTCACACTTAAAATTACAAGAGGTTGAGGGTTTGTAATTTCCAAATTACCTGATTATAATTTGTATTCTTATGCTATTTAAACCTTAATTTGTCCATCCCTTATTTTTTCTCCTCAATGGCTGTGAGAAAGTCCTTTTAATCAGTCTGTGATTCTCATCATCTCCGCCTACGCATACACACACTGCACACACACACTGGTTCCTTTGAATTACTCCGATCAGCTTCATCATGCTGCAGAAGCTACACACTCATACGCGCACAGTCAATACACTGAAATGATAGAATCTACATATATTCACAACCCTCTTTCTTGGTCTAATGAACACTGAGCTTTCAGATCGTATGTGTGTGTCAGTGCGTGTAGGGTATAATTTGAATTTCTTCCATGTGGCACCTCATTTAAGAAGGGGCCTGTTTGAGGCGCTGTCCACTTTCCTCTGTTTCTGCCTAGATATGGTCACTCAAGGCGAGAGCATGGACCTTTTTTTAACACAGCTGAATCCTCACAAAGGGGTGCATAAGGAGTGTATATCTTGCGAGAGCATGAGGCCTTGTGGGACGAGACACATTCATGCCAGGGGGGAGCAGAAGTCTCTCAAAGGCACGGTTAATTCTCCGGCTTGAATCCTGAAAGGGAAGAGAAGGTGTTACTGTACGTCTCCCGTGGTCATGTGTAGGATTGGATTTGGAAGAGCAGAGCATTGATCCTCCAACCCAGTTCTTCTTTTCAGTACCACTTCCACCTCTTTCAACACAGACACACACACACAAACCCCAACCCACCCCGTCCTAACCTCCACAGGCCACACTGTCACCTCACATCCTGTCTGGGAGATTCACTCAGGAGAGAGGAAATGAGGTGAAAAAAGAGAGAGGCTGGAATGAGAATGTCTCCCTGGGGCGTGGAAAAATCAAGAAAATGATGTTCAGAAATTCATAGATTTAAAAATGAGTGCAGAGCGGGAGGGAAGTAGAGAGGGAGCCGAGGATGGTGGGG